TGTGTTTTTTTTTTTTTTTTTTTTTTTTGGGGTTTCTGTGATATTGGGTGTTTAGACTTTAGATTCTATATGGAAGATTGTGTTGCTGAAGTCCTTAAGTCCTTACGTTCATCATCATAGTATTAGAATCTAATTTTATGAGCCAACCTGTGAGAGCATGAGGTGACTATATGTAATACCTTATGAACAATATGCAATCATATATCTGGGTATATATGTGTATATAATATTCTTTTCAATTATGTTTTAATATTATTAGATGGACAAAAATCCATTCACACTTTATTACACAGAAATTATAATAAAAAGAAAAAGAAAAAGAAATCTACTACTTTTTGTTACTAGATCATTTTGCAGGTTTTATGGTCTTTCTGACCATGTTCATGGACTTGAATATTAATGATATCTGAGACTCGTTACAAATATTTGTTCCTCTATTATCTTTTCTATTAACTTTATCTTTGAAGATCGGGACTTCAGTTGTTCAGTCATTATTATGCAATTAATAAGAAAAAAACACTGATGTATAGAGGAGATTATTTGGTGCTTGTTCATTGATCCTTCCAGTACTCAACTCTATCTCCCATCTATGTGAGAATTGAGGAATTTCTTCTCTCTCATGATCTGTATTAAAATGGATGAAATTGAAAGAGTAAGTTAATTTTAGATTGTGCTAGTGTTTACATCTCAAAGTTGCATCATGTCACTTACGAGTTGTATGAAGAGAAAGTGTCTTATGTTTATCTCATGTATTGTTGCTTCTGCATTGACATGAAATGTTTAGTATAGTACCAACTTTAAGATTCTAAGCTGACTGATTCTTTTGAAGTGTTGAACTGTGACTATGTATGAATTATTCCATCTTAACCTAAATTCACATTTTAGTGGGGACCAAATAATATTGAAGTAAAAGTGCGAAAATATATGATATAGCTTGTGATTTGCAAAATTTAATTTCTCAAACAAAAAATAAATAAATACGGCATTAAGGATAAATTGTTTATTCACCTGTGTTATAAAGTACTATTCTGTTTTCATTTTCAGGAACTATTGAAAGCTCTGATTGGCTTTATAGACGTTGCTGGGCTTTACTTTGCATTGACCCAGTTGACTCACAGGAACATCTCTCAAAATCATAAGTTCCAAGCGGTAGGACTTGGGTGGGCTTTTGCCGACTCGGTTCTGCATCGGTTGGCACCCCTTTGGGTGGGTGCTAGAGGATTAGAATTTACTTGGGACTACATTCTACAAGGCCTTGAAGCGAATGCAAATCTGGTGTTGAGTATATCTCTTGCTGCTGTTGCTGCTGTATTTGTTATGAATGGTCCATTATGAGCAGCCTTGTGCATTCATCTTCCATGCAACAGAATGTGGTGGTGAGGTGTATGGAAGGAGAGAACCAGCCCGAGAGAGAAGAGGTTGGCCTGTCTGTCTGGCTATGCTGGGTGTCCCGCCTGCATGGTGTGTGTTTTGCCCATCATTGTTGCAGACATGGTGTTTGACGAAATATCCCTGAGTTTGTTTCGGCGAGGTGGTGAAGCAGAGTGAAAGTATGTGTAGAAAATTCTAGCGGATTAGGTTGAGGTCCGGCGGGCGGCCAAGGCGAGGTTGCCGCCCGCAGGTGAAGCGAAAAAATACTAAGTTCTTAACCTTGCTCTGATACCATGTAGAAATTTAATGTATAAAGAGAAATGATTGTATTATTGATTGCTGTATATTGTGTATATTACAATGATTCATGATTCCTATATATAGAAGAGGGTGAGTGTGTAGTAGGTAAGGAGTAGGTGAAGTGGAGGTGGTAGTGGTGTAGTGGGTTAGGTTTAGTGGAGTAGGTGAGGTGGTAGTGGTGTAGTGGGTTAGGTTTAGTGGAGTAGGTTTAAGTGGGTGAAGTAGGTGGAGAGTAGGTGGATTTTAACAGGTAACATTTTAATTTTCGAGAATTAGGTTACTAAGTCAATTTGTGCCTTTTATATCTTGCGGCAGTGAGAGTGCATTGGAAAGCGGGAAAAAAAAAAGGTTTCATACAATTTCATTATCACGATTTCGCAGAGGATTCAAGCAGGAAGCTGCAGTAGGAATTGAGGGCGAAAAACATTGAAGATATCTTGATATACCCATTGATTAAGGTAAGACTTTTTTGCACCATTGTTTATTATTTTTATATGGAGCAATAGACAGTCCAAACATTATAGAAAAGAAAATCTGTGTGGGTGCCCACCTAAGTTTTGAGATATTGGATGTATGATGCAACATGTAATAGTGTAATAGTGTGGGTCGTTGAAAACAGTGCAATAGTAGTTTATGTAGGTGTAGTTTGACAGTGGAATGTTCTATAATGGGTAAGGTAGTGTTTGGTATTAAGTTGGGTTGAAGTGTTTGGTATTCCTTGGATTTTTAAGCAATTAATAAAACTAAGACGGTGGGTTCTTGTGGGTGTATGCAAGAGATTATAATATTAATTGATTTGAGATTATATTTATTAGATTTGTGTGATTGAAGTGGTGGAGCTTGGTATTTGGAGTTAGCTTTGGAATATTATTTTAGTTGTTGAGGTGAGTAACCCTTGATTTAAAATTATAAATATTTATTTATAGCCTTATTATTCTCTTAAAAAGTAAAATATGGGTCAAGTATAAAATATCATCAAATATCATTCTGAAAATTATTTCAATATATTATGAAACTATTCTGAAAGTTTGTACCAAATATTTATTCTGAAAATATCGAACACTTTATTTAAAAGAAGTTTATTACTCTAGTCTAACTATAATTTGGACCCTAGCCAATGGGGATTATTTATTGGCACAAAAACTAGTTTCTTTTGGGACTTTACCACCGACTTATGTGTGGTTCTAGGCCTTGTCACGGGCTAAGTGACCATAGTCACCAAGACTTGAGTTTTGTAAATTAAATCATTGAACCATCTGAATATCGAACCATCGATTTGAATAACGAAATTACTTTGAATTATCTTATTGTCTTCTCAGTTAAAATGTATTGCTACACTGTTTATTTTCAGCTACGAAACCATCTTACAAAATAATTATTCATTTATTGAATTATAGGAAAAATACATTTATTGGTCATCGACTATTTGTTAGAATATAATATGTAAAATGTTCATTGAACCATCTGAATATCGAACCATCGATTTGAATAACGAAATTACTTTGAATTATCTTATTGTCTTCTCAGTTAAAATGTATTGCTACACTGTTTATTTTCAGCTACGAAACCATCTTACAAAATAATTATTCATTTATTGAATTATAGCAAAAATACATTTATTGGTCATCAACTATTTTCTGTGTATACTTGATTCAGCTAGCATTGATAGTTGGTTATTTACTAGGCTGCCTAACTTACCCTTCTTTTATTTTTTTCAGATTCTAAGTAGAGCTACGTGGGGTTTTACTTGTGGGAGTGCCAAGAGTAGGAATATAATTTTAAATTACTTTGGATTACTATTTTGTTAGTGGATTATATTAGTGGACTTGGTGGACAATTTCATATGATAAAGGTCGTTTATTATTTATAAATTTTGGCATTATAATAATTAAAGATTTATTTTGAGTATTTTATTTTGTGGTTTATTTGATTGGACTCTTGTCCTTGCACGCTCAATTAGATGGGTGTGTGGCGTTGTCACGGAATTTGGGGCGTGCGTGACATAACTTTGGTCGTAGACCTTCACAACCATTTCTTGTTCTAGCAGCGTGCCCCAAGTGCTTGAATAGCCAAAAATAAAAATAAAAAATAAATCTAGAACAAACAGAAATAAAACTTCTCTAGCCTCTCCAACATAAATGCTTGAATAGCAAACACAGATATGATATAGGTCAGAAGATAAGCCAAATTCCATTTCATTATTGTAAACCTTCCTCCTCCCAATATATGCTTTTTCTTCCAGCCAGAATGCCTTCTCCCAAATCTCTTAATGACAAAACCTTAAATTGCCTTAGTTTTAAAACACAGGCCCAAAAGGAGGCCTATGTACAATGGAGGCAGGGATTCCACAATTCCCATCTTGAACCCAAACCATTCATGCCTCTAACATCACCACCCAGATTGACCTAAGTTGATTCTAAGGCTTGAGATCATTTCAAAAAATTAAAGAATGCACCTATGTTCATCAAATATCCTCCTTTATCCCACATAGAATAAGGATGTCATGCCCAAATAACAATTGAGACACTTTTATTGCCTCACCCCTGTGGTCCCCTCCAATTAAGCCCATTAAGCAACCATCATGAGCTACAATTCTCAACAAATGGCTCAAAGACTCCATCACTACACTGGAACTAAGAGGAAACATGCAGTCCCCTTGTCTAGGACCCCTCAAACAGTGAAAGAACCCTTAGGCATTCATCAAAATAGAGCAAATCTGAGACACAAAATTGAACCCATTCCTGTCATCTGGTTCCAAATCTCCTCTCTCTATTGATAAATCCAAAGTCTCCAATTCACATGGGCGTAGGCCTTCTCAAGATCCAATTTGCGCACAAATCCTTTTTTTCAATAAACCAAACCAAACTAAGGCCTTGTTTGTCATAACCTAAAAAAGTTAAAAAGTCAAAAAGTCACTATCTTATTTAAGTCACATCACCTGTCTACCACATCACATCAAACCCAACCCATACCCAACCTATATTTCATAAAAAGTCAAAAAGTGCACTTATTTAGATCATCCCAAACCACCCCTAAGCATTGTGTTCAAATCAAAATATAAAAGCAGGCCAAACAAAAACCTCTACATCAACCAACATATGTGAAGAAGGAAACAAAAAATGTCCACCTTAGACTCTAAACTAAAGAAAAAGGAAATCACCACCTAACCCCTCCTATACCTGCCTCCCTCCCTCCACTCCAACCCCTTTACCTTTTCTATCATAATTGATAGTGCAATCCAAATTCTTTAACACCCTATCACTCCTAGCTCTTGAGCAGCCATTCCTCTTAGCCAAGGTTTCAAAAACTGGTTGCAATCGTCGTAACGGTTGCAGTGACGCAGTTGCGATTGCGGTTACGGTTGCAAGGTGTAAAGGCCGTAGCGTAACGGTTGTAGTAATTGAAACTGTAAATTTTTTTATTTTTCACACAATTTGAAAAAAAACTTAATTGATACGCATATTTTTTTTTTCAGAATCACATTTATTGGTGTTTAAAATAGATTTTGATCAATTTTTGTTAATTTTTAAATATAATACAATATATTTCATATTTTTAAATCACTATAAAAGGAGCATTTTACATTTTATTTCAATAGTTGATCACTTTATATGTCATAAATCCATATTGCACCTCTTATTTTTATTTATTTTTTTAAAGAATAATTGATTTTAAATGTCTACAAAATTATTTTTAACCAATACTTGAACTAACTAAAAAAAAGTTATTTACAATTATTAAATGAAATGATTATAAAAATAAAAATTGAGACAAACAAAAATTATTTTTGAGCTACTGAATATTAATGGTGTGTAACGGGCCGTTACAGTGCCACTACAGCTGCTACATAATACCGAAATGGCCGTTACACATGTGAATTTCCATCACACCGCAAAAGCAGGTGTAACAGGTAGTGCCTACCGCCGCAGCCGTTACATAACGCCACTTTTTGAAACCTTGCTCCTAGAAGAATTTTCATCCATCCTTCGCCTCTTATGTCAACTACTATCAATTTCATAGCATGCTTCTCAAAGCCTTTGCATGAAATCTCGATAAGTTTTATAAGGCCTTCAAAACCTCTTCCTTACCCATTTTGACAGCCCCGTCACATCTGCCAATCACGAGACAACTGGCTGGCTTTCTTGCATATTGTCCATCCATTGGATTGCTACCTTCTTGGCCCTAACTTCTTTTGTAATTGTAGCCCCATGACTTCCATCCTCATCCCTAACCAAAACTTCGCACCCATTTTTAGCCAACCCACTACCCTCCTTAATCTATTGCATGGACCACTCCTTCCTATCCTCCAGATATCTTGCAAGCCCCAATTGGTTCCTACCCAATGAGTGACCATTGCCAAAATGGATGATATTGCCCAAAAGCCCTAGAAAAAAAAGTAGAAGTAAAAAAATAGAAAATGAAGAAAGGATAAATGTATGAGTAAGAGATAGCTATGAGAATAACCCACACACCCCTATAACCCACCTTCTGGCAATATTTTGCTCCCTTTTAATTGAAGCAATATTTTACTTGATAATCCCTACAAACCAAACAAACAATTGGCCCTAGATTAACCAACCCTTAATCCTAAAAGCATCAAGATGCCCTCTAAGAATAAAGTTTATCCAAAAAGAAATGTTGGAGCAAAATTTCAGAGCAAACCTAATGTAAATCGACATTACTTGAAATACATAACCCAACATCACTGGTTTCTCACAACCAAGCAACAATGGCAATGCCATCCCCAAAAGAACTTTATAGAAGGATTGACCAAATAACAATAACTCCACCCTTCAAGGAAGGGTGATATTGTTCAAGTTCAACCTTAGTGACATTCAAAACTTATTTAATGAAACAAAAGAAAATGAATAAATATATGGAATTTGGATCAAGAAATTGATATAAAGAACTCTAAATATTTCTAAACCACAATGCTTTGGAAAAGTAGTTGAAGTGCATTCATATTTCTATTTTTGATACCTCAATTGTCTTCAGCAGAAAATAAATAAATAGCACAAGACCATAATGAAATTTTCACTAACAAAGAAAATCATGAAACAGCATGAACTACTTGTACCTCAAAGAGAAAAACACCCAGAACATAGATATTTGATGAAAATGTGCAACCCCTCCCACTAAGCTCCTCAGGACTAGCATACCACTTCTCTTCCAATGGATCACTTTCATGAGTAGACAGCATTTGGTATGTGTTAGACACACGAGGGCTGCTGGAGTTGCTCGCACTCTTGCATTCTCTTTTCAGGTTATGCTTGTTCAATTCATTCCATGAATCCTGTGGCCCAGCAAGATTAACATCAGTACCCTTGGCAGTGGAAGTTTTAAACCACGACCTTGATGGAAACTGAGGCCACTGTCTGATAAAGTTCAGGTTCTCCTGAATCCCCCCAAAATTTTGTTTCTTGAGCAGTTGACTAACAGCACGATGAATGGCAAGTTCCAATGGCCTTTTTTCATTTCGATAATTTTCTGAGAGAGGATTCTCCTTGACTGTAAGAGTCTCTGCAATTTCTTGCTGGACAGATGATCCAGTGTATATAATCTGATCTGATGGCAACAATTTGAAGCATGATGGCCGTAAGTCTTGCAAGGCAACTCCTTGGGAGTGAGAGAAATCCACAAGATTCATAATCTGCCTAAATATATACAAGCTCTTAACTTTATTTGCCTTACAGTGCCCAGCTTTTAGCCATTCTCTCAAACTGACTCCATCATGGAAAGCATTGGGACAAAGACCCAGCCCATGCCCGGCAATACCATGAGAAGGAGGCACAACAGTTTTAATACACGAATTCAATGGTGGATCAAAAGCTACCACATCGGTACCGGCAACCTTCGAATTAGTTTGGCTTTGGCCCCCAAGCTCTGCACCAATTACTTCACGAGTTGAACCTTTACATATAACCCCCTTACCTTTCAGTGTATTCTTCACAAAATACTCAGAAAACCCAGACTTAGAAAGAATTTTTGTCCTGATACCTCCAAGAGGTGTTGACATATTGCTTGCGACAGTTTTGTTTTCATTATTCAACAGATGTTCCGTGTCATCGTTGTGATGGTCATTGGGCTGTCTTTGACCCAAGAATTTTGGAAAAACTGTGTATCCAACATTCTCCCAAGCATTCGACTTTGCCTGACCATAGTCCTTGTAAAGAGTATCTTCCCGTGAGCCACTACTTCCTTGTCCACCTGCTATCTGATACAAATGTTGCCACTGGTTCTGCTGCCTAGTCTGCACTCTATCCCTATCATTGGAGGTGCCCACTATAGCTATGTTTTCATTGTTATAATTTCTCAGTGTTAACTCTTCAACTATGACCCCAGCATCATCTATACAGTGAGGACTAGCACATGGATGTTGTGACACCCCACCTCCATCTGGGTTCTTAACCTCTAAAATAGTTGCAAATGCAAGGGACGAATCCCTATGATATTGACCCTCGCTTGGTATAATCATTTCATGTGATTCCAGTGTATTATACTCACCATCTTTGCCTTGAAGGTATGTGCCATCAACTGCAGCCACTTCGTCGTCCACTTCTTCACTCATACTGTCTGAGCAAAACTTCGTTCAGTCATATGCTGAATTACACTGCAAAAGAAATTTGCTAGCTAAAAACCTCGTGAACAAGAATAATCAATATGGGTTATGAAATTTTTTTAGAAATCATATAATTCATGATGATAAGGCATGCCAAATTGTATAATTCAAAGGTCAGAAAGTACTGTAGAGTTTCAAGAAAGGAACAACTGTTCCAACAATACAAACAGGCAATTCCCGTGTGTCTGCGAATAAGGAAATTTAAAATTTAAAAGCTCACTGTTGAATTACCCATTAAAATTTAAAAATAAAAAACTAAAAAAAGAGAGAGAAAAAGAAAAGTAGAAAAAAACAGGGGAAAGAACCTTTACCACTAAACATCTCAAACAGAAAAAAACAAAACAAACAAAAAAAAAACTCACCTCAACCTTGCCAAAACAGTTGCAGCACTATCAGTTCAGTAAAGCTTTCAATTTTCTCAACAACCAAACAAGAAGTTCTCAAATTCCATTCTTTTCCGAACATTTTCTCTGCAACCAAACGAAGCATCATAACAGTTCGGCACAAAGCAATCCAGGTTGAACTCAAAACCCACCAAAAACAAAAACAAAAACAAAAAAAATGCTTTAATAATTGAATTGAATCATTCATCGTACCCGATTTTGGGTCGCTAGGCGCATAAATCGAGTACGAGGGTATGTATTGATTACAGGATACCTAAAATGGAGGGACAATGCAATGAAACATGTAAAAAAAATAAATAAATAATAAAAAAAAACCCTAGATTTCATTCCTCTCTTAAACCATGCATGTATATGAGAGATATGTGGAGTTTACCTTAAAATTTACTAAAATGGCTGACAAAAAATATCTGTGTTCTTTCGCTTCCAGCTTCAAATAAAAAACTAAAATAAAACACTTTGATTTGGCTTCATAGACAGACAGAGATGCAAAGTGAGATTGATAATATATTAGTATCAATTATTACTTGAAAATGAATGGGTTGCTCAGCATGACTTTTGAACTTGGAGATGTGGAGAAAGGGCTACCAGTAAATTTTCAAGAGATCATTTTGAAGTTGGAGACCCACGAAAAAAACAAAAGTTCGCACACTTCACTGCACTTTTTGTCAAGGAAAAATTACCACTCATTTAGATTTTTTTCAAAGTAAATAGTTTACTCTTTCAAAATAGGTTAAATTATATTGATATTTTTGAGATTTGACCTAATTATTCCTTATTTTTTTGACATTTTAAAAATTATATTCCCATTTTATGATTAGTAATCTCATTTAACAAATTTCTTATTTATATAAAAGGTAACAACTTTTAATAGAAAAATAAATTAAATTACATTGAAAAAAAAAAGTAAAGTAAAGTAAAGTAAAGGGAAACAAAAAAGAGTAAAACAAAACAAGAAAAGAGATAGAGTGCATGAGTTCAATGTTTTTATTCTGTCTAAATAATTACAATAACAGGGATTAATGCAATTTTTCAAATGTCAGAGTCAGAGGTGATATGTATTAAACTCAAACCTCAAGAGGTACAAGTGTAATTTACCCTTTAAAATATTATTTTATTATAATTTATTTTTTTAGGATTCCCTTAAAAATTTATAAAAAATGTAAAGTACATAATATATTTATTGAATTTTTAAGGTAATAATATCAATTGTTTTAAAATACTTTTATTTAGTGATTTTATTTACACTTTGTCTTCTTTATCTTAGTGGCAAAGTGCAAATAGAATCAACAGATAAGAGTATAAATGTGTCATGTACTTTAGACATTATCTGATTTTTTGTAAATTCCTAACAAAATCCTAACAAAAATGGTTAATTGTAATAAGATAATATTTTGAGGGCTTAACTGTTGAGCTTCGAAATTCAATGAGGCAAAATGCAAAGAGTATTGTTATTAGCACTCTATTTATTATTTTGGACTCTCCCAATTTAATTTTTTTTATTATAATAATAAGCTTAAATGAAATTACTAAAGATAAAATCAATTATTTTGGGACACCATATCTACAATTAAGCCCACATATCCACTAAATCGTAAGTTAGGGTTTATGAGAGTACCCACCTCTATTACTACTCATACACTTCAAAACCCTCAAAACCTACTTATTATCAAAACCTTGAGAACCCTTCGATGGCGATATTTTGATGACAACGGTGGCAACCATTCGATTATATATACTTCTCCGGTAATGGCGATGAGTGAAAGTTCTTCCAACAACCACAATTCTATAAGACGAATGGAGTATAACAATGTAAGCTCAAAGGATGTTCATAACTTGGATGGTATTCCCAACTCAAAAGAGGTTGGCCTTTTAATGGTAAATTTCTTCAAAAATACAGGGGAAAAAATTATGAAAATGGTTCAAAATTTTTTTTTTTTATATTAAACTCCCGAACATATGATAAAAAAATGACTACACATAGTCGAATTAAAGGTATTAGTTCAGGAACGGGTAACCGAATATTATTCATATGTTCGGACATGTTTTACCTATCACATGATAGCGAGTCAATTAGAGGTAGTGAAGTTGGCTCAAAATTCATAATAGATTATAATAGTGAATTTGTGACTCACTTTGCTATGAGAAGCTCCTCTTCTACCGTGAGAGAAATTAAGAGATCGATAAGGGTTTTAGGAGATTAATGTCTTAACTTTAGGGAGATGAATATTTTTAGGGGCATGAAGGTGTGCATTTTAGTGTGTGTGAAATTTTGAGAAGAATAATTTTGATATTATTTGGAGAGATGAAATGTAATTTATCCTTTTTAATTATAATTTTATCCCTTCATTAAATTCTTTTCTTTTCTTTTCTTTTCTTTTTGGATTTGACCTTAAATTGCAATTATTTTAGTACACTTCTACACGCTACCCATATCCCTTGCCATCGCTACCAACGACCACCCGTTGTCACCCCCTTCACTACAAGATTGGGGTTAGGGAGGAAGTTGATAGTGACTACGAGTTGTTGGCCGATGATGGTGTTGGAATAGAAAATTATTTAAACTTCAATTAATTGTTATCGATAACCAAATTACTTGTTTGATTGCATGTTTAATTAATTTTTCATCGGTTATTTAAACAATGCAACTTTTTTTTTTTGCAATAAAAGTATTAAAATTTTAATATTTTCTTATTAATCAGAACTAATGATAATTAATTATGCACTAATATTCATAAAGTCACATAGTTAGGCAAAATAGTTTTGAAGATTTGAATGTGAAGTGAAAATGTTATAAAACAAAACTCCGCATATCCCTTTTATTTTTGGGAGGGGGTGGTCAATCAATGAGAAATTAGTCACAAATATAAGCAACATTACATTAAAATAGATATATGAAGTTTGACGGACACCAAACTTAACAACTACCACTAATCAAAACTAAAGAAAAAATAAACAATTGTTGTGAAATATTTGGATAACCATGAAAAGAGATGTAATTAGAATTTTAATGAGTTTTGGGCCAAAGTGTAAATAGGAAAAAGTTTTACCATGTGGGTAGTGTCATATACCATGTGGTAAATCACATGGTGTGGTGAATAGTAGTGAATAGTGATAGTTTTATCACCTATAACTAGGTGAGTTTGCATGGTAATGAAGATATAGGGAAAACAAAATTCTTTATTTCCTCTTCCACTGTGACTCTTTTTTATTTTATTTTTTTCTTTAGTTTTATAACATGTTATCCGCACGAGATTCTAGCGAACTGAGAAGACAAAGCTACTAGGTGGTTGTAGTAAGTATAAATAAATTATTGTGAAGAAGTGGTTTGGAAATACTCTTCTGATCCTGAGGGACGCTCGTGATCCTCTGCTAATCACCTGAAAAGGAATAAACACTCCGGTCAGGGGTGCTGGAATTAGCACTCTGACGGGCAAGTCAGTCTCAACACTCAAGATTACTTGTGTTCTAAGTTAAATATAATGGTTCTCACATACCTCTTTTTGGCTGATGTTCTCCTATTTATATCTTTTCTTTCTTGGGCCTCGGGATTAGGTCCATTCTCAATTTGCTATTCGGCATATTTTGTAGCAAACCGCTCTTCACTCGGCCCCTTCATTCGGCCCCTTGCTTAACCGACTGTTTGGCCGAGTAGGGTTGGATTCAAGCGTGCGAGCTGACGTCGAGTGCCACATATTTCGACTCTCCTAAGTTCGACTATCTGGAATCTCTACGACTCCCAATACTCAGCCCCCACAATTGCCCCCCGAGCACTTCACTAACGACAGTTGGCTAGAGTGTTTGGCTTCGAACTCAAAAAATCAGAGCCGAAATTCGGCGGCTGACCGTATTCCAACGCAAATGTCTGAACACACGCTTCTCGGTTATCATTTCAACTTCCCGCCTCTTCATACACTTTATTTATTGTGATTTAAAATTTCGACGTCTTTTCAAATACATACACGCTTTTAGACGCTCGTCTCTGGACTGTCTTCCGAATTACCTTTGCAACTTCATTTTCTTCTCTATCCTCTTCGCCTCTTGTAAGTTTTCTTCTTCTCTGCTTTGAATCTTTTTTCTTACTTTGTTTTTGGCTTAGCATATTCCTATTGGCTAGGGGAAATGGCAAAACATTTAAAAGATCTTCTCTTATCGGATCAAATTTCTGGCTTCCGACGCCATTTCTCCATTCTTGATGACGTCCGTCTGTCACTTATGACAGACGGCACCCTCGATATGAAGAGGGTTGATGAAACCACGATCGTCTTCCCTCTCCTATCAATCGCAGAGGGTGGAGTCCGTTTCCCCCTTCACCCACTCCTTAGGGCTGTGCTCTGTCATTGGGGCTTAATCCCTTCCCAACCCAATGTCAACTTCTTTAGAATTATGATGGGGATTATTGCACTAAACCGTCGTATTAGGCTTAACCTTAGCATTCCCGCTATTCGGCATTGCCCAAGTCTTCTGGTCGGCATGGGCGTTATTTCCTTAGGGCCAAAGACACCGACCATCAACTAGTGACTATGCTTTCTAGCTTTAGGAAACGAGTCGATGATGTTATGGTCGTCGTCCAAGGAAACTGGGAATTCGGCGAAGGCAAGGATCGCCTCGATCCTATTCCTAGATGGAGAGGCAAACCAGGTGGCCATGTAGCTTCTTTTATTTATTTATTTTTTGTTATATTTATAAAGCTTCATTTTTGGGACCTCATGGTTTTGCTTGTGTAGGAAACGATTTGAAAAAAGTCCTGACCTCAACCGACGACGCTGTTCTTTCGGAAATCAAGGTTGCGCTCAAATATTTCTGCCGACAGAGTCTTCAGAAATAGGAGAGGGCGGCCCACGTTCTGCTTCATTACGAGCCGACTTATACGACCTTTTCGGCGGCAGAAAACATCCCAATTTCGAAGGGTGAGGAGTTTCTTACCGCCCTTATCTTGACTGATTTCAAAAATTTGAGGCAAGTCAATTTCGATGGATCAAATTCGGAGCAACCGGAAGTAGCTGAGGCCGCCGAGTCAGACAACTCCAAAGTCGAAGTCGACGAGGCTTTGAAGTTAGCATTTGAAGAAGCCAGCCTCAATTCAGTCGACCCCCCGTCTACTTCGAGCCGAGAGGACCTTCCACTTGACGATATTTTTCACGATTTGGAGGACCTTCCTGGCGCGTACCCAGAAGATATGGTTGGGTCAAGCCTCACTAAACTTGCCAAGAAGGCGAACGCGGAAAGGATGGCCACGCGGCGAAGAGCGGAGGCCATTCGGGCTGCCGAATCTTAGCCCTCCCTGCCTATTGGCGAATCTCAGCCCTCCTTGCTTGTTATTGAGGAGGGAACGACAAAAAACTAAAGTGCCAAGGCGGAGCATGTTGTGCAGGTTAGTGTAGAGGCTGAGCAAAGGGTAGAGAAGCGCCCTGCCGAGGTCGCGGCCGGCTCAGAAGAAGACCGCACCGACAAACGACCTCGTTTGGAGGAATCGAATGTGATTGTACCTTTTGTTATTCAACCGAAGATAAAAAACATGCCGATCCCCTCCGATGCTTCGGTAATCAAAGATCCAGCGGTCGCACTCAGCATGTCTACGTCTGTTTCACAGCCCGCTGACAAGGCGACT